GATCGCGCCCGGAGCGGATCCGCGCTGGGGACCCCCGGGGTCTGAGAAGAGCCGGACCACTAGGAGAGGGGCCGGGAGCGGGGCCAGCCGGGTCGATGGGAGGAGAGAGGGGGCGGGACCGGGCGGGGCATGGGCCAATCGGAGAGCAGGTGGGCGGGGTGGGTGATCGGAGCCGCAAGGGAAGAGGATGGAATGGTTGGAGTCGGCACACCTGGGCAGTGGCTAGAGGTGCGAAGTCAGAACAATAGACAGTAGTGGAGCCAGTCAGGGAGTGGAGGGGCGGGACCCTGGTTGAGCCTGTGGGAGGGGCCGACATACACCGGGAGCCCAAGGGTGGGCTGCTGGATATTGACCACGGTCCTCTTTTGTTAAACAGAGGGCCTCCGGAAGTGGATGGTGCAGCACGGCGGGGATGGTTGGGTGGTGGAGGAAAACCGGACAACCGTGCCTGGGGCCCCTTCGCAGACCTGCTTTGTGGCCTCCTTCAGGTGAAAGCCTCTGCTCCCCAAGGGGCAGGTCTGTTGTTGAGAAAGACCTGCTCGTTCTCATGAGCCTTCTCCCACCTTCCTAGGTGGTGTCGCAAGAAGCAGGTCTTGGACCTGGAGAAGGAGGGTCTGTGGCCAGAACTGCTGGACAGTGGCAAGATTGAGATCTGTGTCTCAGACTGGTGAGCACGATGACTGCGTGTACCGTGAGCTCTGCGGAGGTGACCTAACTTAGGTCTCCTGACAACCCCTTACATAAAGTCGGGGAGGTAAAGAAACTTACACAGGATCACAACTCTGGTGCTTAGCAGAGATGTACCTTGACCCCTTTCCACATCCCCAAAGGATCTGTATGGGAGACACCAGATTGGATCCAGTACATAGGTCCTGAATGTAGTTCTTCTGCCTGAATGAGATGCCCCTTGCCTAGCAGGAGGCACTAGGCATAGTGGGCACAGGGGTTGGATTATGGAGCCAGACCCTGCAGGTTCAACCCTTAGACCTGCAGTTTTAGGGCCTTAAGCAAAGAGCTTGATAAGTTAAATCATCTTTTTGAACCTTGATCGTATGGAAGGATAGAGTACATGCCCTCAAATTATTCAGAGCTTTATAGGAAACACGTCCAAAAAGAGGAGGTGATTTGCCCTGATCACACAGCCAGTGCAGGACTTTGGCAGGACCTCACCGGGCTTCTCTGACCCCAGAGCACATCTTAAACAGGTACATGAGTGCTCTCCAAGGAGGACAGGACCTAGATAATTTTAAAGGAGCCAAATCCAAGGTATTCTACAAGTATATGTTCCTTATTCTGAAATTAATCTGTTGCAGATTTTGTCTGTGGTGGAAGTCCCATGGTTCTCCTTTCCTATCTCTTTCTCAGGTCCTCCTTTTTCAGCTTTATGGGGAAAAAAAGACCCCCATTGTGGTGTGTGACCCCCAGATGTAAAAACTAAGGAGAATCCAAGCCAAGTGACCATTTGAATTTTTAGCCTCAATAAATTCACTGTTAAAATATCATAAGCCTCCCCCTATCTAAGAGATGCATTACCAGTAAAACTGCTGAGTTCAATTGGTGTCATCATCTGTACAGTATAGCTCTGCTCTTCTGGTCAGTGGTGGACCATTTGGTTGTAAAAATACCAGGGTCCTAAATTTCTCTGCACATCCTCCATGGAGATTTCAAAACTCTGATGCCCAGGGCATTGCATCTTCATTAAGTCTGAGTATCTGAAGAGGAAAGTCAGGGGTCAATGTCTGAGAAGTTGAGAGCCAAGCATAGAGTTAGAAAGCACAGTCCCCAAGACCATCCTCACGTCTAACACCGGTGACAAGTTTGAGGAGCTCCCAAAGCTAGCCTCATGCTCAGCTATTCACTAGAAGAGCTCACAGAAAGCAGTTACACACTTAGAGTTTATTGGAAGGAAAGTTGAAGATTAAAATCAGCTTGGGAGGCTGAGCAGGAGGATCACTGCAAGTTCAAGGCCATTTTGGGCTATATAGCAGAACCTTGTCTCAAAAACACAACAAACATCAGCTACGAAAAGAAGCAACCAGGGCAGTGTCCAAGAGAGGCACTACATGCAGAGTCTCTGTGGTCCCCCCTGCAGAGGATGAGATCTCATCCTGGCATGGATGTGACAAGATGCCTGAAATGTTAGCAACCAGGGACTGCCACAAAGATGAGAGATTAAGAAACTTAATAAGACAAAGAAGACAAAGACAACAGTAAAGTTTGCCTAGCTGAGGTCAGGTGGAAACTCTTTGTCCTGAGGAGACCAGAAGCTTAGCTTGCATCCTGAGCACCTTTATTTATAGTGTAGATGAGGAACCGGAAGGGGATGCCTGATGGGGACAGGGAGAATGGCTGGGGTCTGCAGGAGATAATGCTCCATGTTTCTCTGGCGAAAGGGTGGGGAGGAAGATGGTGCTGTTCTTGGCCAGGCCTCGCTCCACTACACCCTCTGTAGGAGGAGGCAAGTTAGGCCTGGCCATAGTGGTGTACAGCGCATCGCTCCCAGGAAGGGACACTCACCTGAGCCTCACTGCGTAATGTTTTATTGGGACTGCGTCACATAGGCTTGATTGGTCACTTGCCCACGTGGTTAGTCTCAGCCACCAGGTCAGCTGACATTGAGTCAAACCCCCCACCCAAGTTCCCACATAGTTTTTTTCGGAGTAGCCTGCTGCCCTTCCCCCCAAGCTATCTATATGGGTGTGGCTGCCCCCTCTCAATGGTCCGGGTAGACTACCCAGTCACCCACGTCCAGATCAAACAAAGACGCTCCTGTCAGACCTGGCATGCTGAGGGTCTGGATTTGCAGGATGGAGAGGGCCTTATCTCTTATGAAAGGGGGCTGGGACAGGCGGACACCCAAAGAGCTGGAGTGGCAAGTCCACCGTAAAAGGCCTCGCTTTTCCCACAGGTGGGGAGCCCGACACGACAGTGGCTGTAAGTATCGACTCTTTGTCAAACTTCTAGATGCCACCCAGACTGTCCTAGATAAATTCTCTGCTGTGCCTGACCCCATTGAACAGTGGAACAACGATATCTGCCTCCAGGTGAGTCTCTGAGGAGAGGGAGAATGGTGGTAGGGGCCTCGATGTGTAGCTCTTACTGTATAACACGTCATCCCAAGACTTAGTGCTTTAAAGTCAAAAACTCCCTTCGCCAGGGGTGGTGGTGCATGTCTTTAATCCCGGCTACTCAGGAGGCTGAGGCAGGAGGATTGTGAGTTTAAAGCCAACCTGGGCCACTTAGTGAGACCTTTTCTCAAAATGAAAAATAAAGAGGGTAGGAATGATACTCACGGGTAGAGCATCTCTGGGTTGAGTCCTCAGTACTGAAAAAAACACAAACAAAACAAAGGATCAACTGCAGTTATTTAATTACCTCTCCTGTCTTCTGACGTGGTGGGTAGAAAAGAGCCCAACGGGGCAATCTGGCTCCGGTCTCTTGTGTTCAGAGTGGCATTTACATGGTGGTTGAAGCTGAAGTGCAGGGTATCACGTGGGCGTAGCCTGTGGTGTCTGGTCAAATACTTCTGTCTCTGTTTAGTCTCAGAGCTCTTCCATGGGACCCCTGAGCTTGGGCCATTTGGTTTTCTCACAGCATGGTGTCCTTAGGAGCGTCAGTCTGTTTGTGTGGTAGCTAAAAGCTTCATTGCCTTTTCTGACCTCACCTAGGAAGTCACTTGGCAAAAGCTACTCATTTCTACCGCATTCTTGGCGATGCACACCCACCCACATTCAAGGGCAAGGGAATTAGAGCCACAGAGCAGGAAGATGCTAGAACATGTATGCTCCATGGAGATGATGTGGCTGCCATCTTTGGGAAATGCTGTCTGACCAAAGGCCCCCTTCTCCGCTCTGGAGGGGAGCACTGTGGCTAACAGGGCTGGCTGACTCCTTCCTCTACCTACAGGTCACCCATGTCTTCTCCAACATCACTACGGGTGTCCGTTTTGTGTCTTTTGAACATTTGGGCCAGGACACGCAGTTCTGGGCTGGCCACTATGGAGCCCGTGTGACCAACTCCAGTGTGATCGTGCGAGTCAGTCAGCCCTAGCCAAGGCACTTTTGTCGCAAGCCAGCCTGACTGTGCCTTCGAGGAGCTGGGACTGTTGGCTGGGACCCCTCACTAACCAAGTGTTTATGCCTCACTGGCATGCTGGGAACTTCAATCTTCGAGTTTTGGAAACCACTGAAAGAAGGGGCTTCCATTGGATCCTCTGCTGCTGCTACTGCTGCTTTCTTTTTTGGGGGGAGAGTGTTCCACTTAGCGGAGACCCCCAGTGTGGATGGGGCATGCTGGTCCTGGAGAGGGCCCCGCTCACAACAGCAACCCTCGGGTTCCGCTGAAACCCCTCTGCCCTGACCCCTAGGTTGGCCTCTTGTCTCCTCCTCTTTGTGCTTCAGGGACTTTCCTGGTCCCTTCAGGGAAGCTTCTTCTACTCACCTTTAAACTTTGATCTCATCCTTATAGCTGCCAAATTCTAGCCACCCTGCATAATGAACTTCACCTCCTGGTCCTAACTTCAGGGCTAGGACCTTGTCTTGAAGCTGAAGATAACTAGGTCAGAAAAGAGAAAAGATGTGGAGTTGAATCTGCCCACACAGACTGCTCTGAAAAATGAGGCGCTGTCTCAGGCCCAGCCCTGATCCACAAGAACCTTTGTAATTGCACGATATTTAAATGATATTTTTAAATATTTTATTTTTCCTTTTGACATTTTTTTCGGAGAATAACCTATCAATATCATGTACCTAATGATCGTATGCAATAAATTTCTTATTTTGTCAAAACCACTTCAGATTTTTTTTTTTTTTTTTTTT